AACTTTCTACGTAATAATTAATAATCTAGGCAGCCTACTCTAGCCTACCTATATTACTTAGCCCTTCCTAAGGATTGTAATCCTCCTGTTTAGCCTTAATTTATTCCTATCTCTTTACAGCGTCCTAATTAGCCTATTATAGGCCTCTGTATTAATATTGCTATTAACTTATAACGTCTTATAGGGTTAATAGCTCTACTAGCTGCCTGCAGAAGTATGTTACCTATATTTCTAGGGTTATGCTACCCTCTAAAGGGTCCTGTAAGTAATTAATATTATATCCCTAATTTATAAATATCTCCCTATATATCTCCTTAATCTTATTAGCTATCTAGGGCATCTGCTTCTTTTAATATTATATAAAGTTATAGTTGTAGCGTTTAATCTCTAGGTAACTAGTATACGTAATAGGTACCTATTGCGCAGGTATAAGATCTTAAGTAGGTATAAGAGGATTATAAGGGAGTGTATATAAGTACGGCAGGCCTTACAGAACCTGCGGAGTATAGGGATAATATAGTAGTTAAGTTAATTAGTAATTAAGTAATTAAAGCTCTTGTAATATCTACTATTAGATATTAGTTAGATTTCTACCTACGCCTACACCTACACCTTTGCTACCTCTATCTCTATTACCTCTATTACCTTTACTACCTTGTTTCTGCGCCTCTACCGCGCGTTATTCCTTCTATTAAATTAACGCAAGCTTTACACGAGTTAAAGGCTTTATAGCTGTATACTAATTTTCTGCAAGATCTGCCGCCTATAATAAGAGGATATAGCTGTTAATAGAGTAGTAATTACTCCTACGTGCAGGAAGGCCTTACGTACGCGCTACCTAGCAGGTCCTTCTATAGTAAGGGCAGGTGCTCTTATTATAGATATTAGAGTCTTTAATTATAAGTATAGGGCCTTCTGCAGTAACTTCTAATTATATAACGCTAGCTAATCTATTTTTAAGTATTACTGTTATAACTGCGGCGTAAGGGTAAGGACTAGCAACACTATAAGGCTATTAAGGTAATAATATTACTAATTCCCCTATAAGAATAAGGTTAAAATTAATACAGATAGGAAAGCTCTACTCCTTAAATAACTAATAAGCTAGATTTGTTACCTTTAACTACCTATATCTATTATCCCTTAGTAGGCTCTAAATAGGCTGCTCCTGCTTCTTTTGCTTTATATAATATACAGTCGCGGTAATAATACTTAAAATAACCCGCTAAGGGCGTTAATCCTCTATAACCTTATCTACCTATCTCTAAAGCCTCCTTTTAGAGAGTATTATAATTAGAAACTGTAACTCTATCTTAAACGCGCTAAGGATAGGATTCTTCTCTATATTACCCTAACAGGCGCGCTACTATACGTTTGCAATTAGATCCTTAGGTTTATTAGGCAGCAGCAATAATATCCTTAATTTTAACGTTTTAGCTAACTTCTTAGGCAGATATAAGCCTATAAACTCCTTATCCTTATCCTTATCCTCCTCTACGTTAATTACCTTACGCTCGCCTGTAAGCCCTGTATCCTTAATCGCCTTACGCTCGCCTGTAAGCCCTATATCCTTAATTACCTTACGCGCGCCCGCAAGCCCTAGAAGCTCCTTGTTAATATCCGTATTATTACCCTTAGGGTTTAGATCCTCTGCGTTAATATCCTCTGCGTTAATATCCTCCGCGTTAATATCCCTAACGTTGTCCTTATTATCTCCTTCCTCTAGCATAAATAGAGACTCTGCCTAGGCAGCAGCGGCAAGCTAGGTAGCCTTATAGGCAGCGTTAGCAGGCTTAGGCAGCTTCTTAGGCTTCTTTAATATAGGCTAATAGGATTAAGATGGGTTAACACTAACCTTAAACGGCGCCTAAGCGTGCTGTTTACGCTTACTTATCCTAGTTTTAGGCATTCTAATTAGCGGGTAAGGGTAGAATATAACCCTAGTAATATATAATAATAAGAAATAGATATATACGCGATATCTACGCGTTACTATATAAAAAATAGTTATACAGAGGTTAGATTTACGCGTTGCACACTATATAGTACTAATTTTAGTAATAGGATATAACGCTAATAAATTAAATCTTAAACGTTTTGGCCTCCGGGGTGGACAGCAACATCTTGCAAGGCACTAATAATCTCGAAGTTGGAAACTTTCCAACCTTAGAGACACTCCACAACCACGAACTGAATGCGCGAGTGTTCAATTAAACTTGACCCATATAACAATTCCAGATATTTGAGCCCGTTGAACGCCCCGTTCGAAAACAGTCAACACTAGCTTTTCAAGTTAACTCCGAAGGACTTGTAGTAGGAATACTCATTGTCCGATTTACTCCATCTCATATAATATCCATGAACCGCCCCCGAAATTCCAACCGTCCGCATCGCGGTGGCCATCGCGCTACTGACGGCAATCACCCCAACGTCCCTTATTTCTCACAGCTACGACCTGGAACACCCGTCGCCATAATCCTCAAGCAAGACCAACCAACAGGGCACCGCGTGTACGGAGTCGTCGGAGAGTTGCTCACAAAAGGTGACCATCCCCGGGGCGTCAAGGTTCGGTTAAGAGATGGAAGAGTAGGTCGAGTTCAAAAGGTCGTCGAAGAGGCAAAGGGCAGAGAGGGAGAAGATAGTGTAGGTGGAGCGGGCGCGGGACTGGGTCGAGATGGCGAAACTATTCGTGGGGGATCTTCTGGGGGAAGAGGGTTCAAGCATACGCAGGACGTGCGTGAAGATGGGCACTTGTGGGACGATCAGAATCAGGCGTCGAGGGAGTATTTTGCGGATGTTCAATTCAAAGTCAAAGGCCAGAAGAAGGGAAAGCGGAAAGGTGGGAGTAGTGCGGTGGTGGCGGAGGAGACGCTAGCTACGTGTCCGGTGTGCGGGGCGTTCGAGGGTGATGAGAGGGCCGTGGCGCATCATGTCGAACAACATTTTCAGTGAGATGTGGATAGGTAAAGAGGAATGTGCGAGGAGAGGTCTGGATTGCTCAGGATCGGCGATGGTGATGGTAATGGTATTCGTCAACAGAGTGTTATGAATGGTATGTTCAGACTCTGGGTACCCCGCAACATTCGCCCAATGCTCTACCAACTTCAGTGTCCATCGCTTCATTCGAATCGTTGAGAACAATTGTACGAGGGTCGCAGTGCCAACACTCGATGTGGATTTGGCATGGGTAAGTCGCATCACAATTATCAGTTAATATCTTGTGTGCTTGTATACTAACGGTTCCAGCATACACATCAACCCACTCCGAAAGTCTACCCAGTATACACCACCTTCTAGCAAGTGCAAGAAATTTCCGAACTATGACGACAATATTACCGAAACAAGGCCCGACGACCACTTATAATAGACGTCAACCACTTAGGAGAAGAAGTATGGGAAGCCATACTCAAGGTTAGCCTGCTGGTACTGCCAATGCACGCGCGAGCCACACCGGCTCTTCCTTCACCAACCGGATCAACCCTTTCGAGAAGCCAAAGCAATACCATGTGGAAGCCATCTCCGAGCAAAGGAGTTCCCAAGGATTCGTCCCATTTTCCCGCATATATCTGCGCACAATGCAATTCCAGGACAAAATACCAGTCGATACATGGCCGACGAGGCTTCCTGGGTGCAACCAGCAGCGTCGTGGGCGAGAGAGACTTGACTTACAATACGCCAAAGTGTGCAAACGCTAGAGGAAGAAGAAGACGAAGAAGAAGACGAAGAAGAAGAAGAATGCGGATAAAGTTTTGCTGGGGAGGGCGTGGGAATACCGGGCTGTATAGGAAGCTGTAGGGGAGCTTGTGGGACGAGTGGTGGATGTCGAGTATATGGGGACGGCGGCGGTTGCGGAGGAGGAGGAGGAGATTAACGATAGCCAACATTGAAGATGGAAGATATTGCCATCCGGTATGTTTGTCCCCCTCCTCCTCTTCCTCCTCCTCCTCCTCCTTCCTACCGCACGTGTCCACGCACTGTATGTAGAACAGCTAAGTGAACGAGGTATTCTGTTCGGCAGTGGGTGAGCTAATTGATATAGAGATAACGACATGTCTACTGTGTATGTAGTATTATTCCAAAATTGTCACATGTGCTAGCAAAAGCTCTGTAGGACTTGGCCTGATATTATAATTAACGATATCACGTTTCTTTCCCCAAAGCGTCAACACAAGATGCGCCAATAATTATTCTGTATGTATGTACACAGTAGTGTCCGTTTTCTAAGCCATCTTTTCCGGCCCCCCAAATTAATTACATACGGGACTCCCGCTCAAATTTACCTTGGGAATTTATCCATTCATGCACGTTGAACACCTCCCTCCTCACATTTGAAAACCTGCCTTTGGGATAATACCTAGGTGTGGAGGCAGAAACGAGCTAGAAAGCGAAAGTTCACATGATCGAGTGTATTATTAAGTGATTGATCAGTGACTTCATACTTGGATCTACCTACCCTGTATGTAACAAAGAAGATCATATACATATACACTGCTTAAAGGAAGTGGAAGAACGTCTATCCCATGGATCCGAGGATTATGTAAGCATGGTCTGAGTAATCGCTAATAATGATCAAGTACATGCATGTACTGTGTAAGCATCCTTTCGGATGATGTAGGGATTATGGAAACACACTCCAGAGGATCGGGTAGTTAATTGAACTGATGAGATGTCTCGAATGTTGGAATGTCAAGATGGGATGGGGTTTCGGTACGAGGATGGTCGGAACTGGGGGGAGGGGGGGGGGCTAGGCTGCCTGATTTATCCAATAAAATGCCTCGCACGAACCTCGCAGTATTGGGTGCTGAGAATGCTCTTTTCAGCCATCTTCCTGTGTTGTGATTGAGAATCACAAGAAACCTCCTCCGTCGACCTTCCATGCCTCCCGCAACCCGGGTGACTCCGGCCCCACCAACCCTAATCTACATTGTATCCTGGAGCAGCGGACATACGCCGCGGCGCCGCTCCCCGCCGCCATCGTCTATCCAATGGCGGTAACTCTCCTCCGTCCCACTCATCGTCTTACTCTGGACGGCCGCTATGTACACCCTTCAGTCCCGTATCCTGGATTACAGGTTCGTTCGAAGGCGCATTCCTGCTCGACCAATTCGTCGCCATGCTCGCTCTACTCTGCGCGTGCTACTTCCAATGGAAAGTCACTCGGGTGGAGAGAGCGAGCAGTACATCTACAACAGACGCATGCGGTCCAGGAACCCGGATTCTGACAAGAAGAAGAGCGAGGCGGTGTTTTTCTATCATCCGAACAAGTACTGGCAATATGCTGGGATTGAAGCTGCTGCGTTGCTTGTTGCCGAGCTCTTGGACTCTGAGTATTTGAGGAGGGCCTTGGTGCTGGGTGTTTGCTTGATTTGATTCGGGATGTTGGGTTTAGCGGGGGGGAACAGGAGGGGACGGAGAAGGAATTAGGGGAGTGGCTGAAACGGAGAGTGTAGGATAGTGAGTGATGTCTGGGAGATGGGGGCGAGTGACGAAGAAATGATATGACGTTCGAAGTGCAGAACCTGGTTGAGAAGACAATGGAGAAGACGAGGGGGAAATGGACGGAAAAAGAGCCTTGTAAACCCAGGAACGTGGTCGAAGAAACGCCGGTTGAATGGCAAAACACTTGCACTTGGACATTGGAAAGTGATGTGAAATTAGGGCTTACTCTCTGATTCCCAGGAGTGGCATGATTGATCTACCCGTGAATTTGATGTAGCTCATGTTACCGAGAAAGGAATGCTGGAGAGCAAGGGAAAAAACCCCCCCGGAGAGTCGAAGACAAGGCAATCGCACACGACCGTCGCAGCAGGAACATCTAGCATAGGCAAAGATCGACGGACATTCATGATACTCCGTACATACCGGTATTACTATGTACTCCAAGCGGCATACACGGAATCTGTGATTGGTCTGGGATTATACATACTCTGTAGTCCATGCAACGAGGAGGATTGTGGCTATGCCATACATGATCAACATTTGGGGGCTTTCGGAAGCTTCCTTCCTTAACCAGCAGTCACTATTAGGATTCGGACGTATTCTGTAATTTAATGTGAGTCCGAATTAGGAAGTCGATGAAGGTCGTCCGAGAATCGACCGTGGTGTTGTGGGGAATGTGCTTGGCTGACTGTGATGATCATCCGGATGAAGGGCGGACCGAGGGCTGTGCTCTAAATAGAAATGGGGTTCGAGTTGGCGACAGTAATTTGTTTGTTGTGGGGATACCGGTTCATTGTGTGGTGTGGTTATTTTCGAGTGGAGTGTGTATACAAAGTCAAAGTACATACATAGATATTCTTACATACATGTTGGAGAAACGTGGTCCGTGGGACATTATTCGCTATGTTTAGAGCTTTCGAAGGATGTCCCCTCTGTCCAAGACCTTGTTTGACATACAGTACCGTGGATGCCGGTCGATCTTGGCTGACATTTGATTGAGGTCGAGGGTCGGGACCATGATCCGTGCAGTGACAGGAAGCCGTCAAATGGATCACCATTCGGCTAGATTACCGATACAGCAAGATTACTGTGTACATGTAATTATACTCTGTACAGTAGACGTGTCGGCGGGCTCGGGGAATATCTACCCATCGGACCGATTGTATACCTGAAGAGGATATCAGTCTTGATAGAGTTGTGCTTCTAGGTACACAGTATACAGAGTATGTAGGTATGAATTTAATCTTTGTACCTTGCAGTCCTGGTCATTACGCGTCTGCAGGGCTGAAATGCCGCTATGATGTATGTACGTATGTAATTGCTGTCATGTACATACTTGCTTCTCTCCCACGCCTAATCTAACCTTTATACAAAAGGTATTCGCTCAGCGATAATCTGTCTTGCGAGTCGTGTCCGCCTATGGGATAAGGCCCGGAGGTCCGGGGGGTGACGATGGCGCAGCGGTCAAACTTTGATAACTGTTTTGATGACTGCGTTCGAGTGTCGGCCCCAGTTGTCATGATGGAACGACATTACTCAGAGCGGAGGTCGCAACGCGCTACAAGGTTATGACTTGGTCCAGCCGGCAGTTTGGTGCTTGCGCAAGCACACTGTATTGAGACGAGGATGTAGCGTTGTCAGTCTCTTGGGTGTTGGTGTTTGAGGCACTATCCTTGTGATATCAAATGGAAACGGGCGGCGGATCGACGGCTGGTGGCCGCTCCCGGTAACCAGTACCCAATTGTGGACGACACCTCTGTCATTGCTCCGCCTCTGCCCAGCATAGATACCCAGCATGCCCAGCAACATCCCCCACTGCGTCTCTCTCGATAAGCCATGTCGTACCTCATAGGCCGCGTGCGTGCATTCGCGCCTCATTGCTGTACTGTATGTAGTGACGCGTGTGTCTTCTGCGACAAGGGATATAGCACTCGGCTCCCCGCGCTGACTACACCATGTACATAGTACATACATACTACCCATTGTACGAAGCAGAAACAGTCAAACGCCAGACTAGACTACCCATCTATCCCTGTCTTCTGTAACAGTTACATGTTGTACAAGGGCGTGTCAGAGTCCAGACTAGCCGACCATAGCTGGCAGAAGCATACGGAGTACAAATACTCCCGCCTACACATACATACTGCTAATCTCCTTACACCCCCGAACCAATAACCCCCGAACCAATACTCCCGAAGCAAGAAGCCCCGACCCCAACATTCCACGCCGGGATTCGTTACTTGTATATACATACAAAGTATATGTAATTGACAAGCCCCCATCTCAACTCCCACACAAAAACCCGCCTTGTTACTTCCCGCCCCGTGCTTTCATCTTATTCTTTGTCTCAACACCACCACAGACACCATCAACATGAGGAAGAATCTTGTTGCCTCAGGCCTTTTGGCTTTAGGTATGAACTCCATTTCCCTGGTCCTCACACGAACCAACCCACTGACCAATTCAGCCGCACGCGTATGCGCTCAAGTCGGCACCCAATCCCCAACCAGCGACATCTCCTTCGAGCTCAACATTCCCGCAGATACTGCCTCCTCTGGAACCGGAGACATCTTTTTCCAGTTATCTGCCCCGAGCACATACGAATGGGTTGCTCTCGGCCAGGGCACCAGCATGAAGGGCGCCAACATATTCGTTGTGTATACTTCAGGAGATGGAACCAACGTAACCGTCTCGCCTCGGCTGGCGAGTGGTTACCAAATGCCCACATACAATAGTGCTGCCCAATTCACATTGTTGGGCGGTTCTGGCGTCTCGGATGGAAAAATGGTCGCCAATATCAAATGTGGGTGACTCTAAACCTTGCACGGAATGCAAATACTGATGCATATCCAGGTTCAAACTGCAAAAGTTGGTCGGGTGGTACGGCAGATTTCACAGCTTCATCTGGTAGTTGGATATACGCAGCTCATTCGACCGGAGGACCCAAGAATTCAAACGATCAATCTGCAACCATTGCCCAGCACAACTCCAACATGCAGACAGCGTTCACATGGAGTTATTCCAATGTCAAAGGTGGCAGCAGCGTCAACCCATTCGTGGAGGCGGCGGTGTCGAATGGAGGTGGGAGCGCACCGACCTCATCCCCGAATTCAGGGAATGGCAATGGCTTTGGCTTCGCGCCTGTTCTCTCGGGCTCACAAGCCACTATGAACAAGAGATTGACCGCGCACGGCATTCTCGCCGCCCTCGCTTTCGTGGTTCTTTTCCCATCCGGCGCAATCGCCATCCGGCTCGCGTCGTTCAAATCCGTTGTCGCATTGCACGCTGCCTTCCAGATCTTTACTTATCTAGTTTACACCGCCGCATTCGGTATTGGTATCACCCTCGCGAAGGATTTGAAAGTGGTATGTTCACCTGTAACCCCTTGATCGTATGCTTGAAGTTAACAGTAGCCAGTTGGACTCTCGCCACCCAATCATTGGCATAGTCGTTTTCGCTCTGCTCTTCATCCAGCCCTTCCTCGGCTTCATCCACCACTCGCTCTTCAAGAAGTATCAGACACGTACATTTGTATCGCACGCCCACATCTGGCTGGGTCGGATCGTCTTGGTGCTTGGTATCATCAACGGAGGCCTCGGATTCGAGCTAGCAGAGCAAATGCACATGGCATCAAAGTCGGGTAAGACTGCTTATATAGTGCTTGCTGCTATCTTTGGAGCTGTGTGGATTGTGGCAATCGTTGTTGGAGAGATGCGGAGGTCGAAACGCCCAACTCCACCAAAGTTTACGGAGACGCCATTGGTGGAGAGGAGTCCGGTGAACGGCCGTTTCGCGCCAAAGCAGTGATTAAAGGCTGGAGAGTAGTGTGTGGAAAAGAGTATGACATTAAGAGAAATGGTGTTTGTGGTTTGGCCTATCCTATCGTTTAGCGCTCCAAAATCTCAAGTAATTATTAGTGAATTTCAAATGTTTGCTGTCATGGATAAGATTAGCGCGTAGCGCCTTGGCGATGACTATGATTTTAGTCGTCGCTCCGACACTACGACTGAGAACAAACAAACGCAACAACATCACGACTAGCAATATCCCCACCCCAAGTCACATTTGTCGCTGTCGCATATTCGCCCATCCATATCCTTCTATACCCCTCTCGGTCTACCAGAGAACCACGGCACATCATGGGAGAGTCAAGGTACGATTGCCCCACCAAGCGCCCCCCCGATTCGCCCCGTAGCCACTCACTTTTGTTCACGCGATGCATGTTAACTTGTCCTCATAATAGGCAAGAACTTGTAGCTTGGTTAAACAACCTCCTCCAACTCAACATCACTAAAGTCGAGCAATGCGGTACTGGGTACGTCATAAATCCGGCTCGTGGTTGATCGAACAGTCGCACCACGATAGCATCGCACCACTGACTGGCATATACAGAGCTGCGCTTTGCCAGGTCTTTGACAGCATCTTCTGTAAGACTCTCCAACGGACACTTCCGCGGACACGGCTAACTTCGCGCCACAGACGATGTCCCCATGGCACGAGTCAAGTTCAACGCGAATACTGAGTATGCATATTTGCAGAACTTCAAGATACTACAGAGTAGGTGGAACCCTCCCTCTTCGGAGATCAATTCACACCTTCATCCTACGCCAACTGACACATTCTCACTTAGACATCTTCGCCAAACATCAGATCGACCGCCCGATACCCGTAGAGTCACTCGTCAAATGCAAAATGCAGGACAACCTCGAATTCCTCCAATTCACAAAGCGATACTGGGATCAATACTTTCCCGGACATGACTACGACCCAGTGTCACGTCGAAAGGGACAAGCTGGCCTCGCTAGTACTTCGGCCCCTGCACCCCGTGCCGCTGCCAGCACCGCCCGAAGAGCACCTGCCGCGAGCAACTCTGCCGCGCCGAGGACCCGCACGCCACTTGCAGCTGGTGGAGGAGCCGCTAGTGCCGCGCTCCGTGAAGAGAACACGGTTCTGAAAGAGACGGTCGCCGGGTTAGAGCGCGAGAGGGATTTCTACTTCAGCAAGCTGCGAGACATAGAACTTCTCATCCAGCAATCGACCGAGATCGATCCCGAGCTCGAAAAGGAGGGCGGATTGCTGGCCCAGATTCAGACGATTCTGTATTCGACCGAGGAGGGGTTTGAGATCCCTGCGGAAGCGGAGGGTGAGCCCGAGGAAGAGACATTCTAGTCTTGATGAGGCATTGCATTCGAGCG